ATTTTATTAGAAATGAACGAGTTCAAAATAAATCACATTTCATATATTTTACATTTTATAGTCCTAACTCCCCTTTAAACATGAACACTTGTTATTAAGAAATTTACTAGAAAATATTCCTTAAATTATGTAGGTTAGGCAAAATTTCGTCAGTTCTGGAACAAACATAGGGCTAAGCACCATTATGATAGAACCAATAGGTCCTAATCTAAAATCGTATTTCTACATTCAATATGACCGTAGTTCATCCCCTCTGTATGTACACATTGTACATCTATCATCAGACGTAAATCTATTAATAACAACTTTGAGCCTGTTCAAAAAGAAAGATAAAATTTTGGGCCTGCGAGATCCTCAAATAATCACGTATTCTTTGCCTACGTGAACATATGAAACAATGGGCATAAATCATACGTCTACAAATATACAATGTGAGTGTTAGGACCAGCCTAAGCAAGCATTTTGCGAAGCTAAAGTGGGTAAGTGACTCTGCAGCACCATATAGTTTTCTATGAAGTGACCATACAGATGGTGGTTGTATGGTATACTTGTAGTGACCATACATACGGTAGTGACCAAAGTGGTATACCTCGGCCACCCTTATGCTCATGACCACTTTATCGCAACTACGGAATAACGGAGACTAGGTAACCTTCGTCTCAACATCCAAATTTACTCACCTGCGATGATGGTCACTTATGATCTCGCTTCTTAAAGCTTGTTCACGTAAGTAACTGGCATTGTTGTTACGATTTTTCCTCTTTTTACCCTCATCATTTTTTTCCACGTGTTAATTGATCAAAATCTAAGTGAATTGGGTAACGTCTTGTATCTGTCTATGCACTATGTCTTTTTTAATACGCAAAATTTTCGAATGTAGTTTAGGATCAAGCACTAGTAAGTCATATTTTGTTGTGTAAAGGACAAGTTCACCAGGTAATTCTAAATCTGGACAACAATCCGATTGAGATGAGCCAAGCGGTTGTATACGAACATGAGATCGGACATGGTGATCATTTGAAGTCCTTAATGAGGTATTGATACTACCTTCGCGTGAAGATGAAGGTAAAGGCGGTGTACGTGAGTCAATCGTAAACGAGTCGTGCGAACATATGGTATCATTATCATGCAAATCCAAGTGACCTGTCTGATTGAGAAATTGGTTCAATTTAATGCCTTTCGGACAATGAATCATATCTTATATTTGGACTAGATAATGACGATGCCTGCTGTAAACCATTTATAACATCTTCGATAGACGGAGATAGTTCGCGGTTCGCTGGAATATATTCCGGAGACACTGAAGAAGACGAATGTTGCAAAACAATTGATGAGTATGAGTGATGTATGTTTGAAAACCACGAAGGATGATGGTAAATAACTTGGAGAATGATGTGACGAATATTGTGTCGTATGTTGAGGGGAAGTATTATAAGATGGTGTATATGCGCAACATAAAGAACTTTGGATAGAGTGAATTTTCGTCAGCCATCGGAGAAGTAGATTTCAGCGCGAGTTTATATCAATACTTATGATAATCAAATGTGACTCATCCTTTAATTATTACGTCAGATCACCATTTTTAACTATTTTAGAATAGTTCACTAATTGAAATGGCGACAATTTTTTGGTCACAAATTAATAAGATGTGAAGTTTATGTAATGTTTAGTTGGTTTTTATTAAGAATTTAAACAACTTAATTCAACGGAAAATATTACTTAAGCGTTAACTCATAGAAAATTGTTATTTTTCATGACACAGTTGACACACAGTAATAGAAATTATTATATAATCTAGTTATACAAATATTTTATGATTTATTAAGAATTTAAAGATAGTAATTAGTGGATTGCGTGAATTACACTTATACCTACCATTTTTTTTTAATTTTACATCAAATTTTCAGATCCGAATATCCGATCGTACAACAAGCGTGACAACCGTCTTTACCAGCAAAAAGACTTATAATATAGGTAGGAGCGAACCTCAATTATAGTTTGATATACAGTTCGTTATTTGCTTCTTCCAGATGAACTTGAAGAGAGAGACATAGCAAACAAACACACTATAATAGAGGAGAATTGGAAGGGGAACGTGGCAAATGATCATGTAAAAATTGCAATGGAAATGAAGCGTAATAATTTCTTTTATCCCAAGTTTCGTCCTCAATTTAGACGATAAATATTTTATTTTTCATCCCCAGTTAAACTAGAAGTTTGATTATTCAAGTAGATTTCATAGTACATAATGTTCTTTGTCGTCATTTTTTTCTTGGTGGTGGACTGGTGGTGTGATGGTTAGTCAATGTGGTGATCAATGTGGTGGTAGCTTCACTGAAAATATTTTTAAAAAAAGGATGTTATTTCAAATTATTCACCTAAATTTTTGAAATTTCTCCTAACATTTTATTTCTATTGATGTATCTGATGTGAGGAAAGCATCTGAGTTTAGTACTATAAGGGACTCCATAAGTTTTTTTCCTGTGGGAATCTATGTTTTGGGCATATCATTAGGTGATAATTACTGTAAATGAAGGAACAAAAATTTGTCTAAATGCAAAAACATAGTTGATCACATGTTTATCTCGATGTTTTTTACTTTAATGTACTTATTGTACATTCAAAAAACAATTTTATATTAGGATGTTTACTATAGAATCTTGTGGCGCAGAATTGACACTACAAACGGACAATAACATATATCTTTTTGTGAATAATTTTATTATTAATTGATAAAAAATGCTAATGCATTTAATAAAAATCATGAACAATTAATTTATTGACAATTGGTTTTACTATACGGAAGAATTGAGAAACATCTTCTAGAATCGATTACGTATTCGTCAATAGAGATTTTTGGAAACAATTAACGAACACGAAATTATTAATGACGAGAAATTAATTACAGATCACAATATTGATACAATCAATATGAAAATTAATGAAGAGTGAAAAAATACAGAAAATTAAAAATCAGCACTACAATTTTCGATGTACTTGCTGATTGTGAAGAAATATAGTTAAACGTAAAATGTGGAATTAAATAGTCGAATTATTTACAGAGAAGCAAAAGAGAGAGATCGAATTAGTTAAAGAACAAATGATGAAGTGAGACTCAAAATGGAAATAAGTCGTAAATTCTAAACGAAATATAAGTTTATGAATCTTTAGAATTGTTAACAAGAATTTTAGATAAAATAATTCGAGAGATCAAACTGAACAAAACCAACAAACGGCGTAGAGTAAAAAAGAAAAAAATACAAAAATAAAACTGTAATGAAGAATAAAATCATAAATTTGAAACTTAAAAAAAAGAGTACAAATCCTAATATCGTAATAAAAGATATAATAAACTAGTGAACGATAAAGAACAAAATTAAACAAGATCGTAATTTGAAATAGATTATAATATTCAGCAACGTGAAAATTGTATGAAAAAAGATATTGGAATAACTTTAAATAAAATTCTAGAAAAGAAACGAAATAAAATAGAATTAAATGAAGTTATTAGGAAGGATGATAATGATAGAAGGGTTATGGAAACAAATTCTATCTCCTCTTTCTCATACTTTAATAAAAAACATATTTTATATAGAATATTAAATGAAGCAAGGAATTAATATATATTTCTAATAGCAGGGAATATGTGATGAAGCTAAAATACAGTGCATTCTTCAATAAAGATTCATCTATCAGAATTTTGAAAAAATCCTAGTTAATACAAATTCTTCTTTTTTTTATGAATATGATCAATTATTCTTAAGCTTGCTGCTGACAAGTCAAAAATTAAACATTTTTTTATAAGAAAATTAGAGTATATTCGAAAAAAAAAATCGAAAAAAAAAATCATACATTCACCCTAAAATTAGACGTAAACCAGAAGTCTTCATTTTATCACTACTTAAATTTGTGAAGTCATGGTAAAACATACTTTCTATAATTTTCTTTCATTGCTTGATAGCTCAAAACTTCTAAAACTTGCCTAGATTACCACAAGTGGTAAATTTAATTCCATTTTCCTCAAATTACTTATATTTTACACTTTTTTTTTGTCTTTGTAACCACAATAAAAAATTTATTTCGACAAAAAAAAAGCACAAAGAAATTTAATAACTAAATAAAAAAAATTTTGCGCTAGGTATATAAAAGCAAATTCTACAGTAGAAGTAACACAAAAAGCAATATTGCTAAATCCGGAAACAATCCTACTATATTTAAACCAGTTATATTTTATACCGGTTCCAGCTGATGATTAGTTATATTTAAGCCAGAATTAAACCGATTATAACTGAATAAAAATTTGGTCCAACCGACGAACCGGGTTTAACCCGGTTTTTTACAACCGGTTCCAATTTCCGAACTCTACTATGAAATTTTACATTAATTCTTTAGTAAACAGTAAAAAAAAAAATTTTCAACGTGAAATCAACTAGGAAAAAGAGTTTGGTGAATTGACGGAAGAATGGTATTTGTCCTTGTTATTTTTTTTTTTAAAAAAAAAGAATGTTAAGTAGGAATTATGTTTGTATGCATTTTGTTTTAGCGAAGTTTTAGAAAAATATTAAATTGTAATAGTAAATTATAAAAGCAGAAATCACTTTTTTTATAGGGCAATAATTAGATTCTTTATTAAATTTTTATCTTGTTTAGGAGAAATATGTCATATTCATATATATACTTTATATAATATGTCATAAAAAACAAAGTAAAAAACATTTTTTCATTTACAAAAACATGAATATATTAACGTACTACTTTATTGGTAATTTGTTCAATTACAGACTGACTTTATTTATGTAAAAGTAAAATTTTACATACTACTCTATTATCAGCGTTGAACAAAAACTATACATCAAAAGAAAAAATATATATATATAGTTACATATATTGTTACATATCAAATATATAAAATGTTCTTGAATAAATAAATATTCATTTACTATCATACAAAAAACATAAAAAAAAATAAAAAATATTTTACAAAATAAACATAATAAATTTTCCTCTTTTTTCAAGCCTAATAATTATTTAATTAGTCATTATATTAAAAATATATATATATATTTATAAATATATAAAATAGAAACCAATTAAATAACCGTACCTGTTGAATGCTTTATTTGACATTATCATCAATAAATTTTGGAGTAAAAGGATTAAGTAATCTAGATGTATAAATAGCTTGAGGATGAACAGTTGGTAAATAATTATCACTATTTGTTCTTCTGTATCTTTCAGCTTCTTTGAATTGTTCTTCAATTTCATCATCATCTTGTTCTGTTTCAATTGGACAATATGAATCATGGAATAATTTAATCAATTTTTCTATTTCACTAGCTTTTAATCTATTATTTGGATCTGAATCCCAACACTTTTTCATCAAGTCACGATAACATTTCGGCATTTCTTGATCACTTGTTTCGGGTCTAACTCCTTCACATATATCTAATGCAAGGTTTTGATCATGTTCACGATTGGCGAAAGGTTGTTTTCCAGTTGCTACAAAATACATAATCATACCAAAACTATATATGTCTGCTGCTTGAGTATAAGGTTTTCCTTTTAATACTTCAGGAGCCAAATAAGGCATAACTCCATAAATTTTTGTTTCATCTTCATTACTAATATCCCCACAAAATCCTACATCTGAAATATACGTACTCGCATTTGAAGAAACCCAATAAATTTCCTTAAATAATATATTTCCTGTATGTAAGTCGGAATGAACCATCTTCTTTTGATGAATTTCGTTAAGACCTCTAATAGTATTATCCAATACTTTCAATTTAATCAACCAATTGAAATATTTGAAATTATTATTGTTGTTTATCCAATAATTAAAATTTCCACCTTCTGTATATCGAAGAACAAAAATATAATCCTTTGTAATCGGATTTTGGGTTAACCCATACATTTTAAGGACTTTACCAGATTTTTCAAAATCATTAGTTAAGTATAATTTAATCTAAAAACAAATATATATATATACGTCATTATAATGAAAATAAAAGTATTTAAATAAAATATTAATTTCATACCTTATTTAAAAATTTATCAGTAATATTTTGCGAATTAAATAAACATTTTAAAACAACTATCTTATCTGAATCTCTTGACCATTTTCCTTTTGTTCCATCATAACATAATGGACCATTCTTCCATATTGCAGAATATACTGTAGAAAAACCACCTTTACTCATTTCTTTAATACCAACAAACTGATTATATGGTATCCATTCAAATGCTAAATAAAGATTATAATGTTGTATTTCTTTAATTAATTTATCAATTTTTTCATTTCCACTCCAATTTGGAAAACTAATTATTTGACATTGTTTACACCATTTATAATTGATATCTGTATATTCTTTACAACATCTTTTACAATACTTTTCACAATATCTATCCTCAAGAACCATAGCATAACATTTTGTATCAGGATTTTGAGAAATTCCATATATTTTAAAAGCAGTAGCACTAATATTTATTGAATATTCTCTAACCTATATAATATATTGAAAAATTATGTGTCATTATTAAAAAAAGTATTAATAAGAATTTATAAAGAAATATAGTTATACCTTATTTGTTATATTTTGTGAGGAATTTAAACATATCAAAGCAAAAACTTGATTTGGATACCTTACGTATTTCCTTTTGTCTGTATTATATTTTAATGGACCATCTTTCCATGTTGCCGAATATACTGTAATGTGCTCATCTTTGCCCACTTTTCTAATATTACTAAATTGATTGAATAATATCCATTCAAATACTATATCAGTTGGGTAATTGACTTTTAATTGCATTTCTTTAATTAAATCAACAATTCTTTCATTTCCAATATTCAAATCCATGAAATTTTTTGTTAAATAATCTACTTGACATAACTTACACCATTTATAATTATCTATGTATAATTTATCACAATTTACACAATATTTATCATGATATTTACTTTCAAAAACCAAAACGTAATCTTTTGTAGTCGTCATCTGAGACATTCCATATAATTTAATATTACTATCTAAATAATTAATCGAATACTTTTTAACCTATTAAAAAAATAAAAAGTACGTTAAATAAAATAAATAAAATATTTAATAAATTCAAAAAGAAATTTCATAATTTCATACCTTATTCAAATCATCAGTCATAATTTGTGAATTACCTAAACATTTTAAAGAAACTTTTTTACTCTTAGAAATTTGACTATCCGATCTATCAAATCCTCTCGTCCATTTCTTATTATTCCAATATAATGGACCACCTTTCCATTTTGCCGAATATACAATAGAGAAACCATTATCTATTTCTATATTAACCTCACTAAACTGATTATATGATATCCATTCAAATACTGTATCTTTTGGATTATTGATTTTCGATTGCATTTCCTGAATTAAACCATTAATTTGTTCATTTTCGCAAGTAACCTTTCCTTTCAAGTAAATTAATTGACATTTTTTACACCATTTATACATATTTGTATATATTTTACCACATCTTTCACAATATTTTTCATAATAATTGCTTTCAAAGACCATTATATATTCTTTTGTATTTGGATTTTGGGATATTCCATATATATTGAGAATGTTATTATTATTATCTATCGAATATTCCTCAATCTATTAAAATATTAATAAAATATTATTAGTATATTAGATTTAAATTAAAATTCGATAAAGAAAAAAAATTTCGTACCTCATTCGATAACTCATTAATCACGTTTTGTGTGTTATTAAAATATTTCAAAGTAAATAATTTATTTGAACATCTTTCATATTTCTTTGTATTAGTATCATACACTAATGGACCATCTTTCCATACTGCGGAATATAAATTGACGAGACCCATTCCTACACCCTTAATATTATTAAACTGAGCAAATTGGTTATATGGTATCCATTCAAATACTATATCTTTATAATCATTGATTTTTAATTGCATATTTTGAATTAAATCATCAATTTCATCATTTCTACTGGATATAAAATTCCTTTCAAAATAATCTAATTGACATTTTTTGCACCATTTATATTGAGCGTTATCATAAATTATACTACATTTTACACAATATCCTTTAAAGTAATCATCAAAGTATTTATTAGTAAGAACCAAAATATAATCTTTAGTATCAGGATTTTGAGTCATTCCATATATTTTAAGATCGATATACCACTTTGATGATTGATCATTCCTCTATTAATTAATTAATATATAAATTCTTTATACGTTAACAAACAAAATATTAACAATTTGGCGTATAAGTAACGTGACATCGTGACACATACCTCATTTAGAGTCACACTTTGTGAGTTACCAAGACTCTTTAAAACGACCGTTTTATCGGAATCCCTTTCGTATTCATCTTTACCCCAGTATAAAGGACCATCCTTCCATGTCACTAAGTAAACTGTAGAAAGACCATCTTTACCAGTTTCTTTAACATTAAATTGATCGTATGGTATCCATTCAAATATTATATCGTTTGGGCCATCAATCTTTATTTGCATTCTTTGAATTAATTTATCAATTTTCTCATCTCCGCTGGTCCAATCAGGAAATTTTTGTTTTAAATAATTTATTTGACATGATTTACACCATTTATATTGTTTGTTTGTATACGTTTCATAACATACTACACATTTATTATTTGATATACCAAATAAGCTTCGCATGTTTTAAACGGTTATAACTAACTACCAAACGTTTATTTTTCAATAATTTTTTATTTCGAAAACTTTGGGTAACCTTATATTATGGACGATATTTTTTTTTTTTTAGTCAATCATGGCTAAATTTGGTAAACGCCGACAGAAATCACAAGAACGCCGTATTGCATCACAGCATCAAGTCAGGTAACCTTGGTAACTTTAAAAAAATAAATAAAAAAAAAAAAAAAATAGAAAATGATTCAAATGATTTTTTTATTGAAAAAATCAATTAATAATTCTTCCGTCATAATAATAATTATTTAGAACAATTGAAATTTGATAAAACATTATACAAAAAACGATTACATGTAGTATACAGCATATAATATTATCTATAATATCAGTAAAAATCAATTAATAAAAATCGGTAAATGAACCGTTATTTTAATAATTGTAATTATTAATTCCGTTCTTTTATTCTTAAAATGATTTTTATTCTTTGTTCTTAAAATAATTCTTACATAGTTCTTAAAACAATTCATTCTTTGTTCTTTAACTTAATCGTTTCTTTTAAATTAAGATAAATCTTTTATACAATCGTCCATTGTTCTTTTTAAAATAACTTATTCTTAAATAGGTTGGGTATTACAATGCACGGAACTTATTTTTCTTCAGTTTTTAAATTATGAAATCCAATCAAAACGAAGAAATTTGTCAGAAGTAAATATTTTGAAGATATACCGCAACAAATTCCGTATTTTACCTATTTGGCCATAGCACGTTTTATACATTTTATATAAGAATAAATAAAAGATTTTAACCAATGAATACATTTATAGTATTTAAAAGAGAGATTCTTTTTTAAAATTAATATTTTTTATTTTTTAATAAGATCTACTTATTTGTACATCAATAGTTCTACTTTGAGAATTTCTGTAATCATGATACCACGTGATTACTAATTTTGTCTGATAATAGTCCCAAATGATCCAGTAATTTTAAATTGTTTGCTCACGTTCGCATAATTTTCGAGTTTGATAATCTTTTTGAATTTAAGGTTTGTATTATTTAAAATTTATCCAATCATAATGTGACGCTTATAAATTTTTTTATTTTTTTTAGTCATATTTTTATTTTTTTATATTATGAAAAATAATGCATAATTACAATCAACTTTATTTTTTATATTATTTTTATTGTTACAAAATGGAAAATAAAATTTCTTTGACGAAATATTTCGTTCAGAAAATCCGTGATTTTCAAAAAAATATTTTTAATTATTTAGTTAATTTGAAATTCAAAGTACTTTTAATTTTTTTTTTCTCTCTTTTATTCTTTTTATTTCTTTTTATTTCTTCTTNTTTTTTTTCAGACAATATTATATTTTAATAATTAACCTAAATTTTAAATTTACATCAAAAACAGCTGACCTTTATCATACATATCAAAGTGCATCAATAAAAAGGGTATTATTGTATAAAAAATTTTTTAAAAAGCCATTTTTTTTTTTCGTTATTATTGATTTCATTGCGATTATTAAAAATGTCCTAATAAACATTGTACTCTAGATGCTACATTGCACAAGCGTACGTAATGATGCTGATCATTCGTTAATCGTGTGACATTCTTTTGAGATTTTACAATCCAAACTTCTCTTTTATTCTCTCATAGACAATGTGCAAGTTGAAAGCATGACGATCTTTGCCGTCACCTGACATCACGTCTCGCATATTCGCATATTTACATGTGTATAAACATTAATCGAGAAAAATTGGTTTGAGGCACTAATGATTTTATTATTACATACCACAAAATATTCACGCGTTATGAATATCGAAGATATCTCAGATTATTAAATATTACTTTAACGATAAATTAACTGCGATAAGAACGAGATCATGATTGATAACCTTGATATATATTTTGTATTACGAAAAAAAAACTGGAAATCGTATTAATTAAAGAAGTTCACTTATTCGTTACCATAAGGTAATTAAGGTATGTAATGACTAATGATTATTCAAAACTCAAATTTTATTTCACAAAAACAATATTTTCTTTGGCATAGACCTTTAGTTGATCTAGTAAACTTTATAGTAATCAACTAATCATAGTAATCATAGTCAATAAAATATGATGTTACACGTGTAAGCTATGGGAATGATAATTTGTCAATCATTTTTTGAAATTGGGATTAATAACCGCGACCAATCGTTTTTGAACGTTATGCATTAAGACAGATTGTATGTTTTTCATTTTTGTTGCTCCGGTTATAGCTTCAGATATATTTTTCGTTTTTTCGTTCACAGTTTTCAGTTTTATCTGACACCTTCTCTTTTTGAAAATTTCAATTTCAATGAATGAGAAATATATTTCTGTTTCATACGATCTGCGGAGATAGTATTTTACTGTGCCATAACGAATTTAACGAACTATGGTAATTGCTAAAATATCGATCTAACATTATGAGATGTAGATATTTTGTTATGTATAAGTAATTTTAATTCTCAATTATTAAATAAAAGAAATTTTTTTAACAAATTAGACATTAAATGGCAAATTTTTTTAACAAGTTAGCATTAAAGCAAATTTTTTTTAACAAAGTTAGGCATTAAATGGCAAATTTTTTTTTTCTCTTTGAATTAATAAAGTCAACGCCCTTAGATTAAGTTATTGATACTTTAAGAGGTTTAATACGCTTTAAGAAATAAAACTAAATTAAGTGATAGTATATTTGACGATTAGCTAGTAGTATTTCTCCAAAGTTAAATTATTCCTGCTTCTTAGTGAAATGCAAATTTTGGAAATTTTGGCTCTTTTATCTGTTTTATCTATTAAATATATTAATAGCGATGTTAAATTTCTTGTTTACTTTTGAATAAAAACATGAAAATAATTTCTGATTAGAACTCGTCTGTTGGAACTATATACTGTACACGTGATCATCGTGACATTTCAACTTGCGCTGATGCAAACATTAATTATCTTTCACAACATCTTGTTCTCATAATTATATTGTACAATACAAGACTAAATTTTAATCTCTTATCACATTCACCTGACGAAAGTTGGAAAAGACTGTAATAAGCGTCCGTCGTGTATAAAATTCGGAGGTATTATTTGCGTTTGCAATTTTACATATTAGTCTCAATTTTTTAGGTAAAATTAATTTGAATTTTCCTGTTACAAATCTGGAATTATAAAAAATTGATATAAAATATAAATTATTTAGATTTCTAAAATTTCTAAATTGTTTTTATTTCATGATAAAAATAATATTCTCATAATTACAGATTCAATAAAAATTTTTTTATTTTTTTTATATTATATAAAGCTCCATTATACTATTTTGATTGATGTTTTGTTTTGGTTCACGTGCATTTTCAAAAAGTTATAAAATAGATAGTGTGTCATTATAATACTAATGTCTTTGGTCAAACACATTTTACTAATATATATATAAATTTTTTAGATTTATCTAGTCTCGTATCTGGTTAATTATTTCATATGGTCTTTAACCTTGTTCAATTATTTCATTTTATGATTAAATGGACATTAATTAAATATAATGCCCTCTCAATTTTTTTTATATCTTTGCTAGATTATTACTTTGAATAATTTTAAACATTCCTTTAGTAAAATTTAATAATCATACAATTATTGAAGCGCTCGAAAAAGATAAAACTTTGCTAATAGTTCGTAAGTAACTTACTTATACACGCGTAATATTAAAAATAATTTTATAAAATGTCTGTTATATTTACATATATTTATATATTATGATACAGTTATTAGAAATACAAACCTAAAAAACATAAAAAACATAAAAGATTTGGCCTTTTATTAAATCAATTATATTGTGTATAGATTTACTTTTTTCAAACATATTAAGTATAAATTCCTCATAAAATCTCTCAATGTTCCTTAACTAACTGTACTTTCATTCTCGAATTGATGTTTTTTTTATCAAAAATCATTCATGTTATCATCTTAGACATCAAATATGCTACAAATCATTCAAAGGTTAATTAGATTCATTGTTACGTATTTCTTTCAATTGATCATATTATGCTTGAAAAATATCTTCCTTCAAACTTGATTACTTCTCAGTATTCCTAGATATTTCATTTTGTGTAGGAAAAGGTTCGAAATTGTCGATTGGCACATCATAAATAAATTTATTGGAAGCTTTATCATTATTTTTTTTTTTCAGAATTGTGCTATTAGAAAGTAAGGCAGTTACCGGAAAAGTTAAGATTACAGAATACGGGATTCCGAAAACAATTATAAACCGAGAAAGATCATAATCTGAAAGTATCATATAAAATGTAATCAGAATCAAGTGATACAGATTTAATTATATGAAATGCATGAACGTATATAAATATATTCGCAACGTCAGTGGTCATGCTCTACGATCGGTACAGTTCTAATATTCACATCACCTTTTTCGAATTTTCTTTGCAGATGTTGAAGTCTGTTGAATATGTTAATATTTGGTATACGTTATGCTTCAGATGATGATTTGCGTCAGGTGATAACTAACGCGTGTCAGAGATCGATTTTGAATAGTTTCTCAATTAATACAGCTTAGTAAACTTGTACACCATAACGAACTGCATATATTCTTTGAATACTGAATTATATATTGCAGATACCACATTTGTAAATATGCATTCTTAACATTTCAAGTTGCCCAAATATCCTTAAAAAATACGGTTAACATCTGACTTAAATTGCCGTCACCTGAGGAGCTATACATTACACGAAAAAAAGAGTTGCTCTTAGTAATCATAATATATTGCCTTTAAATTTTTCGTCATTTTTTAAAAAGATTTATAATAACTGTTAATGATATCAACTTTTTCACTTTTCATCATATCCAAAATTTTACAGAAAAATGTTATTAGTGGACATTTACGAGAATTTAAAAGAAGCCGGAGTGAATTTAAATTAAATTTCCTCCTGATTATGAAATATTTTTTTTGTAATAAAAAGTTATCACTTTTTGAAAAGATTTTAGCCAAAGGAAGGAATATAACTAGTGGGAAAAAAACACTAGAAATTCGAAAAAACAAATAATAATAAGACTAATGATTGACTGTTCAATTATAGATTTATTAGATTTTTCATCGGGATTCAAAATATTACTCGAATCAAAGCTTTACTCGGAAATTGTAAAATAAATATCAAATCTAAGTTATCTATTATCAATTTTGTATGTTTAATTTAACAATGAAATGATTTTTTATAATTAAAGACTAGCATGACAATTTCATTAATAATTTGATCGTGATTCTCAAGAAAACAAAATTCTGGAGAAAGATATTGAAAATGTTTTACAAAAATTTTTCCTGAAAAGGGTAGAACTCGCAAACGAGTTTAAAAAGAAAATGAGATATGAATAACAATTTTTTTTTTTAATACTCAAAATATATAAATCAAATCGTAAAATTTTAATTGGTAATTGATTAAAAAAACTTTAATTCTCGATCATCAATGTATAATAAACTTTTAATAATCTACACTTTTCCTATAATGAGCACGAATCATTTATAAAACTTTTTTATTTTGCTACTGGCACAATATTACAATGAATGACAAATAGGATTTCACCCATCAAAAACATTGTTGTCTTCAGATACTAAATAAAAAGCCAGTTAATGAATTTAAACCCATTCAATATAATATAGAACTATTAATTCCCAAAACTTTTTAAGTTTACTTTATACAATATACAATTCAAAACATTTTTCTAATCTATTTAAAAAAATAAGTTATTATTATACAGACAAATAGTATATAGTTTTTTTTTTAAATATTATTGCTTAAGGGATCCGAAACTGTTGCAGTACCGTTAACGCCATTAGTGTTATTTATATCCTCTCTTTGTTCAAAATTACACTGAACATGTTCAATATCACCATTTGGTTGCCTCATGAAATTTGATCCGCTGATATACTTTTTACATTTTGAGCATAATCTATTTTGATCTATTACAGTTGGTCCAATTTTTTGATAGGCCTGGTATAACTCAAAACTTGTCTATAAAATGAAGAAATTGAAATCAGTTAAGCGTTAAAAGACGGTAAAAGGTTAAATACAATTAAAAAATATATATATATATAAATTACTATGGTGTTTTGGCCACGACATAACCCTTTTAGAACTTGTCCTTCTCTATAATCATGATAATTTTGTCTTAATGAACGAATCAAGAATTCGTTTAACATTTCAACTGACCAACATTCTGGTAATAATCCCATAACCTGCATATATTATCGGAAAATAAAAATTATTTCATAAATCGCCTTACAATACTTTTTATTACATTAATTCTTCACTAACCTCTGTGGTATCTAAATACACTGCTTGCGCATTCAACAAATTTATTATTTCTTCAACCATTCCATTCCTAATAAATTTTTTTTTTAATAAAAATTTAAAAATAATATGCATATAGATAACAAATGTTATACTTACTCATTTTGTATTTGTAGATAAACTTTTAATAACATTAGAAATAAAGTACGTCTTGTAGCAACCAAATTCTTATCTTCCACGATTTTTTTATCTGCCTGTTTTTTAGATGATAATTTACAGACCATCCGACCGGCATATAAGCAATAAACTTCCGCTCCACGAAAATCTTTTAAATCATTAATCAATATACATAAAGCTTTCTCGTGTTCATTCAACTATATAAGATAAATAGAATAGTAAATATAAGAGCTAAAACTATAAATATATTTCAATTACTAAATTAATTCAAACTTACTTTCCCATATACAATAGCTAATTCAGCTTTTAACACTGGAATTTCAAGCAATTTATTCAAAACTACTTCTGCATCATATCGTATATAAGTTTGTAAGAAACTCATTAATTTGGCTCTTTCGTGTGATAATAAATCTTCCGTTGGTTGATTTTGTAAGAACGACAAATATGTCTTCGCCGGATCTTTCAAGCTTATAAAATCATTTGCTATTATAAAACGATATGTTCAATGATTTGTTCATATTTAAATTAATTTAATTATCTTTAATCACTTACTTATTTCTTCAATCTTCGCTTTTGCTTCATCTGATTGCAATAAATTTTTTAATTCTTCTATATACAAGAATGCCAGTTCTGTATGATGCTTTTCCTCATTGCTTTTTCGTTGTGTAACCAAGTATTCCAAGTACATTTTTAACCCTTTCTTTCCAATCGATCTTAAATGATCCAAAACCAAACCAGGTTCGATCAACGAAGGACGTCTTAAATTTGGTTGCATAAATATCTAAATAAATTAAATCTGAGTATTGGTTTATTAATTACCAAATATTATTAATATCCAGATAAATTCATACCTTAGCTCCAATAACTTCATCTAGCTTTGCAACCCAACTTGCATATTCCCATATTAAGTCAGGGTCAACTAACTTTCCGAGTATATTTGCCATTTGTTGTAAACCATACGGAATGTCTTGATCTGAGTTATTCTCTTCGATAATCCTATATTATACAAATTTATAAATATATAAAATAAATCACTAAATTTTAAGAACATCATAAATACTCACCGTTTCCATATTTCCAAAGCTTTTCTGAATTCTTTGTTATCTTTATAAAGTAAGGTTAAAGGATAATATTTCTAAATAAACGAAAAAATTTAAAAGATTAAATTTGCTCGTTCTTATTATTATTTTTAAACTGTTTGTATTAAAAATCCCACCTTGTTCACTAATAGAATATTTTCACTAAGTTCTAACACACATTCATTAGGATTTTCTAATAAAGAATTTAATGGCTTATCCAATTCAGGCTTATCAGAACTAGCGTATAACCTTAATAAAGCATTATCAACAGCCTAATCAAATCATTAAAAAATTATTTAGACCGGTGTACAAATTAAATTAATTTGATTTTCAAGTAGAATGATATCAATACCCTCAAAATGCATCTTTCATCCGGCTTCAAAGCTTTCCCTTTAACTACTCGCTTCTCGCGATCATTTGTTAAAAACATTAGTAGCATTTCTTTCGCATTCGTAATTAGAGTTTTACAATCAACCGAATCACGTGATACTACATAAAGTGCATTAAAAAAATTCAATCTTTCGATTAAAGTTTAATTAAAATAAACAGATGCACACATACCAATATTATCGATGCTGATAAGACGTTCAATAACTGCTTTTACACCGGAATAGACTGTAAAATTATCGTCATTTCTGATAATATCTTTCATGTCTTCAAATAATTGAATCAATAACCTAGGATCAGTATTTCCTTCTTCGAAAAGCGGAAGAGCCATATCGAAAAACGTTTCTCCAAGATAGAGGAAACCGGATTTTTGTTGAATATAATTGAACTCATGACGCTATAAAATATGCCAATCGTGAAAGTTATAATTGTTAAATAAAAAATAAATAGCCGTTTACAACCACTAAGGGTTAGAATAAGTTTGGTGATGATTTTAACATTTTTGTATAGTAGTAAAATATCCGAAACGAGATCTATTAAAAAAGAAATATTATTATCGTTTAAAATTACACGATAACTCACCATTCTTTCACTATGGACATTCTCTGGAGTTGCTGTTGTCATCATTCGTTTAGACGATTCTATAGCTTCTTCTACGCGAGAAGCATCGAGCATTGAATCAATCTTAATAAATAAAGCAACTTTTAGAATATATTATACAAGGAAAATAAATAATCACATAATTTATCAAACCTGGACTGCAAAAGGTGTTGCTGCTAAAGCAACAACAGATTCGCTTCCTGCGATTATAAGTCGAGTGGGAACTGTTGCTAAAAAGTTGGATTGGTTATTATTTGATTTAGCCTTGTCATTATCTACATTTGAAAAAATATTATTATCTAAATGGGAATTATTGTCTTCATTAAATAAATATCCATTTTCCAATTTCAACCTATCCATTAATCCGGCGACCTGAACTTTAATACCAGGTCCAGTTGAAATTGTCCTTAGCCTTGACTTAAGTTTTATACTCTGAACAAGTTTTTGCTCAATTATATTATGAACTTCTATCACATTGTTACGCAATAACGCAACAACGAAAGGAAATTCAACACTGATCGCTCTTGGAAAATTTTCCCATTGTAATGTTCCGCGAACAGCATCCCCTGTGTATGCAATAAAATGTCCAATTGTCACCTGTAAAATCATAATCAACATTAAGGATATTTAAAACAAATTACTTCTTTAAAGAACAAATATCAATGAGCAAGGATATGGTCAGCATTGGCCGGCGCGGTCAACAAAAATTCTCCTTCTCTAATAACAGTAATTATAGGTCTAAACATATCGCCATTAACAGATGATTCATACGGAATTAATTCTTCCATCCGTTTGGCTAACAAATTAATCATCTTATAACGACGCGTGTCCGCTACACATACATATGGTCCATATTGACATGCCGTAATTGCACCATCCGGAACTTGCATAGACTATTGAATTGTTACAATATTTTATTAATGAAATTTATTTTATTCGATATAAAACCATAAAACCATTATAGCTTACTGTCACTTCAGTGCATCTCTCTGATGTCAACGAGTAAATATGTAACATCCTTTTCTTCATTACGCATATTCTTACTGATCCATCTTCTTCAGTTTTTCCTTCCATCGAAATATCATGACAAAAACATGTAACACCTCTAATCGGTTGAAAGTCTGGTGTCGGCAATGCAATAATCTCGGGAAGCGAGTAAAAAGATAAGGTCGAATCTAATTATTCCCAAATATTATTTATTAAGAGACCAAAAATTCATAATAAATTCAATAAATCACTTTTACTTGCCACACAATATAACGGCAGTTCTGATTTGAGGAAAAAGCATTATACGCTCAACTATCCTTTTCCCAAGAGGTTGTTTACTAAGACGAAAGTTACTCGATACATTCTTTATTGAAATTTTAAGAAAAAAATAAACCATCACATTTACGAATACAAATATCATTCTTTATTATTGAATTTGCTTTATTCTATACATACATTATCGGATGAAACCTGACCATCGATTAAATAATGAATTAAATATCCATCCGAAGTGCCTAAATATAAATTATTTTCTGGCACAAGAATAATATACAAGAAAAAAAAAATTATTTATCTAATAGTAAAGTTTATTTATTAAATAAATATTATAATAAACTATTTGATAACGCTAATTTATACAACGATAATATTTCTCTGCTACTTTGTGTCAGAACATTGGAAAATATTTCAACTTACCCCAAGCCTCAACCGACTCTACTGTAACTTGAGTATCTTTAATTCCCCATCCCGTTCCAAATAATCTACTTCCACCTCCAGAATTTTGAGAAGCCTGTTGGCTATCTTCGAGGTGTAACGCATTAATGAGAGTCTGTAAAGAAAAAGGTGAGAAAGTCATTGACAATTGTTAAAAAAAGGCCTTTCGATATCGAATGTAAAATCAAAGGTGAATTAGAAGATATAAGATATTGTTCATTAAAAAAATTGCCTTCGGAAAAATCATGTGATTGATGGACTATTTTTAGTAAATGACATCATATCAAAATTTCGAAACCTTTCCTGTATAGTACTAGATAACTAAAACTAAACGCTAATAAAATAAATAAATCTTTCGCCGAAATTGGTTTTTTTAAATCTATTTTCAACTAATGGAAGATAATAAAATACGAGAAGCAGTTCAATTCTTGTCAGAAGGCGATAAGGCGTTAGTAATTATTAATTAGCAGTCCTTTATTATGCATTACCTTAATTCGGTTTTCTATTCAGGACTCGAAAGGGTTGGTTTAAAAAACCTGAATGGGACGTAGCCGGGCAAAATTACGAAAAAGCTGGTATCTAAATATTTTAACTTAGTTTTGTTTTAGCGATTCTCTGATTTAATATTTTATAAATTACTATTTCAAGCTTCGTGTTTCAAGGCGGCTCGTTCATATGATCAAGCTATTCAAGCATATCAAAAAGCTTCTGACGCGCTTTTTAAGTCTGATTCGTATGTATAACTTTTTTTTTTCGAGTTGTCTTATTCTCCTTTTTTACCAAATCATCCTATATTTAGCTTATACATGGCTGCAAAAACAATGGAGTCTGCTGCAAACTTAGCAGCTCAACAGCTTAAACAACCTGAACGAGCTAGTGAAATGTACAAAAAAGCTAGCGATTTATATCAAGCTCATATGACTCCAGATCGAGCAGGTGAAATGTTAGAAAAGGCTGCAAGGTAATTTTCTTATATCTCCTAATATTAATTTATTCAAAGTATCTAACATCATTATTTAATAAAAAGAGCTTTGGAACCAGTTTCTGTTGATGGCGCCATAGATTATTACGTTGCTGCATGTAACTTATTTGAATCGGAAGACCGTGGAAGGTTTGCAGTTGATACATTCAAGAAAACAATAGCAATCATGATTAAAAATAAGCGGTAAATTTTTATTAAGAAATTATAGAACATTTTATATATTTCAAATTTCTAATAATCATAAATTCAAAGATATGCAGAAGCAGTAGATATTATGCATCGACTTTCTAAAATATATCTGGGCATTAATCATCAACAGGGATTGAATAAAACATATTTAAGTATTATCATAACTTTACTAGCGTTAGAAGATGAAGTTGAAGCGAAGAAACAATTTCAATTGTTTTGCCAGTGATTATTAATTTTATATTATTGTTTAACATTTTTGAATGGTCAACTATTTACATAATGCATTTAAATTTTTTTTTTTTTTAGAAATGCTTTTATCCAATCAGAGGAGTCAGCTATTTCAAGTTCGCTTTTGGATGCCTTTGAGCAAGGTGATCAGGATCTTTTGGATCAAGTTGTACGTAGACCAATTGTAACTTATTTGGACAATAATGTTGCTAAACTCTCTAGAGAAATACAAGTTCCTGGAGGTTTAAGTAAGCCACCTCCAACTACTTATATTCCTCCACCAAAGCCCATTACCTCGAATAATGATAGACTTCAAGGACATGAGCAAAAGAATGATTTCCCCATTTATAATCAACATCAAAATGATTCTTATTTCCTACATAATCAAGAACAAAAAGGGAATTTAAATGATTTTGCGGAAAAGAAAAGTAATTCTTTACATGATCAGTTGCAAAAAAATGATAAGCGGTTACCTGATGAGAATGCGCCATACAATATTAGTGATAAGGCTGAAGTACTTCCCACAGGAGACCAAATACACTTACCTTCATCAACTACGCCTGTACCACCATCTCATTCAAATTCTAATCAAAATACTTCCATAGAAGAAGATAACGGTGAACTATGTTAGATTTGGGGATATAGATACGATTTTTTTTAGATTATTTCTTTTTTGTAAACTAGTAATAATATAAGTCACAGAACATTGAGGTATTTAAGGCACGATTGAGAGTTGTAAAAATTTTAACTTAAAAGTTAACTAAACTTTAATATTTATTTCTGTCCATCTTTTACCCAACGTGATCAACTTAATAAATATTTTCTATAATAATTTTAAACTATATAAAATATAATTATCAATTCAATTGCAAATAATAATTTCTATAATAATTATACAATATCCTATATTATACTACAAATATTAAAGAAGAAAAATATTATAAATATTTTAATTATAAAATAAAAAACACCAGCTGGATTAAATCAAGAATTAATTAAAGGAGCTTAAAACTAACAATATACCTATCTCTAACCCGACCGTTAACTATAATTTATCTGGTTACAGTATTTACATGTCGAATTTCCCGACGCGGATCCACACAGCATTACCTTTTTATTAGAGTATATTGGAATATCATCCTTCTTTCAGAAAGATTACTGATGATCATATTGAGCTAAAAAGGATAAAGTATTTCATATTTCATTGAATCTTAGGATTAATCATCAATATTCAATCAACTATTTATTGTGTCAAGATCCTCCAGTTGCACTTTTTTCTGGCATCGTAAGATCGCTATTCATCTCTTTTTCTTCCTGGCTTGAATTTAATTTAATTCCGTTTTGTTCCAACGCTTGTTGAATTCTATCTAATGTAATCTGATTTTGCTGTGATAATTTTATTAATGTTCTTACTTGTTGCAATAACGTATCTTGATTAGCAACCCATTCTTCGCTCATTGAAGAATATCCTTGAGGCGCATGAGATACAAAAGAGCGCGTACTTTCAAAACTTGCTCGCAAATCAGGACCTAAACATTACATATAATTAATAACATTGAATAATGATTAACAAGTTTAAAACTTACCCATAGTATATCCGCTACTACTGTCGTCTTCAGACTCATTTACGTTGTTGTTTGCCTTTAATGTTATTGCAAATGATTAGTCGATATTTTTTTATGTAAGATAATTTTTTTAAAAAAAAAATATTTACCTGAGCGTTACCAGTTGAGCGACGATATTGTCTCATTGCCTCCCATACTATTGTAAAATTTCTCCCGACAATAATTGATGGTAACGCAATTAGCTAAATAATTTTAACTACGTGTTAAGTAATAGCTTCATTAACAGTTCATACTTTAATGCAAAAAAAAAAAAAAAAATTCGTAATAAGTTAACTCACAAGAATCCCACACATCATCGCTGGAAAAGCTATTAATTTTCCTATAAATGTTGTGGGAACCATGTCGCCATATCCCGTAGTAGTTATAGTAACCATAACAAACCAAAATGCTGATGGAATACTATCAAAAGAGCTAAATGAATGCAAAACAAGAAAATTAGATATTAACAAATTTATAATATGAAGAAGTACATCTTTTCATACCTAGGATATCCTTTACTATCAACAAATACTTGTTTTTCTTGATCCCACGTACCTTGTAAGTCGATAAGAATAAATTAAAATTCAACAAATTTACTAAACAATTATAAAAAACAAATCACATACCACGTTCTGCAAAATATAATAAAGTTGAAAAAAGTACAATACTAGTCACCATGAAGAAAAACAGTGCACCTAAGGCATCCATACTTCGTTTCACAGCAACTATCATCACCTCAATTGTCATGATGATCGTGGAAGAATATTTGAATGCTTTGAAAACACGAAGAAGACGAAACAAACGAAGGATAGTAAAACGAAAGTCATAGGTCTAATTGGAAATAAAAAAAAAGTTTTTCATATATAGTCGTAATTTGTATTTGAAACGAAAGCTTTAATTACTTACTGTATCATGATGAAACATCAATTCAATATAATAAGGTGTAATGGCAATAAAGTCTATGAGAGCAAGAGGAGCTAATTTCAATAGATAAAAAAAGAAAAGAAAATTTCAGTTTATAAAAATCCAGAAAGAACTATATCATACTATTTTCTTTACCTTTCACAAAACGCCATAATTGACGTATTGAATCTGAATGTGCGACTAAACGCAACAAGTATTCTAACGTGAAGAAAGCAACAATGGCCGTTTCAAAATTAAACCTAATCAAATTAAAAAAAAAAGTGTCACGAAAATTACTAATTCACGGATCAACTTCAATATCACACAAATTTTAGAATATAATAAATCAATTACCACACAGAACTCGATGTGGACCTAAATGAAGGTATCGTCTCGATAGTAGTAAGTACTGCACTCAGTATAATTGAAAAAGATACGAAAACGTTCACCATAAAAGCAGCGTTACTCGAGGAAGGGTCTTCTAATAAAAGAAATAAACTCCTCTTCCAATCGGTTCGCATTGAATTAGCTTCTGTATTATTTGCCGCATTTGTGTCATAATCGGCTGATGTTCTAAGTTCTTGTGGAATCTCGGTAAGAGGCCATTGATCTTCCGGGCCAATACCTGGAATGGAACTCCTCCTGATTGGAGACATTGTAGTAAAATTGACTACATGAGGATTTACATCAGAACTTACGGGACTAGTAAGCGAATCAGAAGCAGCAGCTTGGCTAGATGTCATTGCTTGTAAAGGTATAGCTGGTTGTGACGTGAGATTAGGCTCACTATCTGTTGCAAGTCTTGTAAACTGTTGATGTTTTGTCATTTGTTAAAACAGTTTTCGCAACGTTGAAGATAGTATAGCGGATCTTATCAACCACCATTTTCTTGATCCATGCAGATCACACCATAAAAGTTTATACCTATATATGATTGATTGACACAATGACACAACGTTTATATTGACACACGGTCCTTTTTTTATGCATTAATTAGATAATAAAATCAAACGAAAATTACCTTCCATCTTAATATAGGGAGAAATGCATTTAATGTATTATACCGATGACAAAGGGAATCGTATTTACACTCTCAAGGTATTTCATATTAAAAGTAAATCTTTATTTACAGACAAGTAGAAAACGAAAACTTAAATAATTTACTATTAATATAGAAACTCAACCAGTATGGTGGAATCACAAAATCAGCTCACCCTGCAAGATTCTCACCGGACGATAAATTCTCTCGTCATCGAGTTACATTAAAAAAACGATTCAAGATTTTATTAACACAAACACCCGCAAAACCTTTGTAAATTACCAATGATAGAAAGAGAAAAGGTTGTATTGACTTCTCTCCAATAACACTCACTTTCTTATGTTGAATACGTGGTGAATCAGATCACAACAGCTTTTTAATCAAAATAAAATTTGAGATTTTATTTAAATTTTAAATATTCTATTATCTGCTTTATCTTAAAGTTATGTGGTCTTTTATGCGAATAAAAAAATGATATTAATTAAATATATATATATATGTGCTAAAAATTTTAAATCGTCAGAGAATAGAAATTAATTATATATTGGGTCTAAAGTAACAAAGAAATTTCAACATTAATAATTAATTAAATTATATACAAATAAAATCATCTTTCGTTTCGCCATAAATTGCGAGTCAAATTATATAAGGGGTATAATAAATTAATTACATTTGTAAATAAAAAGGATAAAAAGAATGGTATGTTATAAACGATCCGAATGCAAGTTTCCTTCATTTCCAATGGCAGAATGCGATTACCTATATATAAATATATTAAAGTATTATACATCCATCCATTGAATTAAATCCGAAAGCAACAACAAGTATCTTCTATTGAAGAGAACAAATTAGAACAAAATTGAATTAATATATTGCAACCTTTTCCCACCACTTCAATTTTTTTCCCAAAATAAATATCGGCCAATTCTTTAACAAAGGCACCATCATCTTGTGGATCGAGACCAAGCTGAATCAAATTATCAGGATAGAGAATTATGGTTTCTTCTTCTACTTCATTAGGCGTGACCATTGGTCGCAAAGTGTTAAAAAGATTTGTTGTTAAAGCCTGAAAAAACCTATAAGAAAAAGAGTTAATCAAAATTACAAATGTTTCAATTAAATTCATTAAATTCAAACCTTATCATTTCCACTTCAATTTCTGAAGCCTCGACATTTGATGAATTACCACTAGACGATTCGTTCTGATTATTTAACGTGATTTCTTCTCCATTTTCTTCATCCTCTTCATCATCATTTAGCCTTTGATAACCATCACGTCCATACCACCAGAACCATCCACCAAACATCATCTTGCGCCAAGTGTCAGTAATATCACCACCGTCTTCTTCTCCGGTATAATTATTTACACCATAAGATGCCAATAACTTGAGTAAAACTCTATATCGTCGAATATCTGTTGCGTTGATCTTAGTGGATAATTGTGAACCAGGTGGTGTAATCAATTCTGGATGTTGATGATGATTATCTTCATGTGGTAAAATTACAAGTAGATCATACAGACTCTTTTTGTGTTGAAAAATTAAGTCACTTGTGCCTGTAAATATTGTAAATAGGTGGAATTAATAAAGAATCTCATAAGTAATAGTTATTTCACGGGAAGCCGTAGATATCATAGAACATCACGGAAGAGCCGTGATGATAATGAGATTGAGGCTGATCCGTGAAATAACTGGTTTATACCACAGAGACTGATGTCCTTCAATTTTAGACTACTAATAGACTTTTAGCTTATCCTTTTAAATAAACATCACCCAATAACAATATCAATAAGAAAAATAACGGACGACTATCAGGAAACGTGGTATAATAATGGTTATAAAACTTACATGCAGCATATCCACCCTCCGTAGCTTCAACCATAGGAATATCGCTAACGCCAACATTAAATAACGGTCTCATCTTGTCAACTTTGTTTCGTAAAGTTCTACTAACGGTTGATGGTATATTGGCAATTAAACACGTCCCATAAACTTTTTTTAAAAATACAAATAATAAATATATAGATAAATAGATAAATTCCATGAAAAATATAAATTATAAATAACGAAGTACCAGAGTAACAAGCTTCTTCCACCGGAGGTGGGGAATAGAACAAAATGCGTTTCTTAAGTAAAGCAGCTTTCCACAATAAGAAAATGGTAGGACCACACGAACGAACGAAATCTGGGAAATGGTGAGCAGGATGAAAAGGCTTTTTTTAAAAGAAAAATATTTTAATTAAATTATTCAAAAAAAAAAAAAGAAAAAGAAAAATAATAAGTGCAATAATAATTAATTTGAGATTCAACTTACTGTAACAGGAACTTGATAGCTAGCTGTGCTCATTTCAGAAGTTGATAAACATCTATTTCGTGAATATTGAAATTTACTATTTGATCCGCTCGACAAAGCACGTCGTCGTAAAGTAGATGGTCCACTTTCAGATTCAAGTGATAACAAATCATTATCTACCGAATTTAATCGTATTCCACGTTTTTCGAAATAATCAACAAGACTTGAATAATCATCTGAGAAATTGACATGCTGTCTGAAACGGATAAAACATTTTTGAAAATTTAAATTATAATGATAATTATGCCTTTGCATTACACTCATTAAAAAGACATACAATATTTCATTTTGTAAAAACTCTAAATGATTCCAGGGACGACCACATAAGCCAGTTTCGGCTGTAGGTGTCACTAATACACCCACAGCGGCCATATGAGCTCCTCGATCTAATGACTGATCAAAAGTAGGTTCATTCCGAAATACACATACCCCAATAAAGGGAGGCCTGGTAAAATATCTGTAAATAGCAATTTGTGGATTCCAATTATGATATTGTTTGGCTATTTATATGACCAATCTTTGCATTTAACACATACATTATATCCTGGTTTACGGCATGTAACCCGCTAGGTAATGCTTGAAATTCAATTCCTTTAAGATCAAAATCTGTATTTTGACTATAATTAGTAAAACGAATTAATTTATATATATTAAACATAAATAAATTGATATATGATTGTTCGTTACCTTCCGGATACTGCCATTCAATCACATTTCCTCTCTTCGTATCGAATCGAACAATATATATAGCAACCACGTTAGGTACGTGGTCGCTTTGATAATCGTTCATGGTTGGTGTGTCAGAAATTTTTGGGGATATAGATTCATTATTTTCTAAATTTCGAGACTCTCTATTAAGATTCCAATATATATTTAATATATATATATATATATAAATAGATAGATACTTCTTACAAAATAATTCTTTTGTACATACGTGTTTTTCGCGTCTGAGTCTATACTTATAGTATTTACAATTTTGTCTTTTCTATATAAACAGACCTAGATTAGTTACGCATATATCCTTTTTTTCTTTTTCATTAGTTTTTAAAAAGTAATATTACGTTTGTAAGTTTTTTGTCAAAACTTTGTCAGCATCTTCTACTGGTTCCAAAATCTCATTTGATAGAGTAGCATTGTTTGAAGAGACAATGTGCTCAGAATTCGACATTTTTAAGTAAGGTAGATTGATGAATCCAAAAATGAAACGGTTAAAAAATTGTGGCGACGTTGTGATACATAGGCAATTCGCTGATCATTTACGTTACTAGATTTGATTCACTCGTACAACAGTGTAACATTGGATTTTGGAACCTGCATTTTCAGTTATAAGTGACTTTGGGGCTTGGTATTTAATTTATTAATATATCGGGAAGTATGGCACAAGAAGATGGAAACTGGTAAGTGCAATATAAAACGCAAATATTTTTCTTTAATTTGTTTAATAAGTTAATATACATTAAATTATTATAGGGTCGATTTTTTGATTGTTTGTTTATTAGTAGCAATTCTAGTGTTATTTTTTCTATTTTATATCAATCGGATATTTGCAATCCTTTTATCTCGATTGATACGAGTATATACTTGGAGAAAGTATCGTGCTTATATTGAAATTGGTGAGGGTTTATAGGGAGTTGCAAAAAGTTCCATGATCTTTTGTATTCAACTATTTTCTGTATTTGCTTTTAAATTTTAATAAAGTAATTCAATTAACAAATACAATATTTTTTTAATCTGATGCTATATCTATGATTAGAGTCATTACAATTTGCTCCACTTGCTGGGCGAATATTGTTTAAAAATTTAAAATATCGGTCAATAAATCAATCATTTTCAATATTGAAAGGACACATAACCGTACAATATTGGCTATGGAATGTTCGCAAAGAGTATCAAAGCCAAGATAATAATGGTAGCATTGCTACCGGTAATAATTTTTTTTATTAAAACCTTTCCGTTATGAATTATATTTTGACTTCAATTTTCAATCATAGATATGGATCTACCTTGTCGAATCGTATGTCATTTAGATGGTGTTGAATGGTTTGCATATAACAGAACACCCGCATATGAAGCTTTAGCAAATATCATCAAAACGTTTGATAGCGACAATTCTTCGAATGTGGCACAAAGTGAAGCTGAAGATATTGTTGGTAAATCATTATAAGTATTTATGAGCCTTATATTAAAATGATCATTTGGTTGATAAGCAATTCAATTTATCTTAAGTTAATCTCGATGGCAACGATATACCTGAAATAAATTATTCCGAAGAATCATTTTTTCAAAGGTTATTACCGATTCGGATAGATCTTGAGAGGGGAGCAATCGTATTCGGAAATACAAATACACCTTCACTTCTTATTGCAGAGTTTTCTCAAGCAAGTGGCATATATGCCGCAAGAAAAGTAACTAATTAATCTGGAATTAATTTCATCTTGAGTATATTCTCTAAGTTTATTTTCTAATTATAGTCGCGATCAAAATTTGATTACTACAAATCAGTTCTTGATCTTGGATTTCGAGAGCCTAAAATCCATATAAGAACGAATGTTGATTATAAAGAGCCAGAAAATATATCTCCAGAGCATGTATCAATTTTAAGAAAAATCAGTCACATAAGAATTTGAAATATGCAAAAGTACTGAATTCATTCTATTTCTGTACATAAGGCTTACAAGAAAGAAAAGTTTTTTATCTAAGCTTAAAAACTTTTATACGAATTATATCACTTTTTGGAAAAAATCTCGACCTGCTAATACCCCAGAATGGCATGGTCTTCCTAGATATCCTTTTATTTTCATTAACTTAATTTATATTATAAACATATATAAATTATCCTTAATAAGTTCACACATATCGAGCGGGTGATGATAGCAAAGGCAAAGCCACAAATGAATACGCTAAAGTTTCGACCATATTGGTTTGTCATTTATTGGAGATGACTTACTATGCCGATGTAGCAGGTATGAATGTACATAAAGAATAGAAACTGAATTGTTTACGCTTAGGGTTTAATTTAATTAAATAAACTTTATAGGCAAGGTCCCTCGTACCCCTATCCCGATTACAGATTCCGAGGAAATAGATATTGGAAATGGAGACTTGTCGCCAGAATGGGGAGTAGATTTAGTATTTACTGGAGTTCACTTAGATTATGGGCCTTGGGCAGATCGCCAAAGGTGAATTTGATTATTATATTAACATCGTTATCAGAATATATTCAAATTTTAAATTTTTATCGCCTAAATAGGAGTATACTACAGAATTTTTTCTTTCCACCTATATACCGTAACGCAAATCAAACAAAGAAACTAAGTCCTGGACAGGATAGGATACATACCACATTTAAGATATTTATTCAATTCGAGGATCAAGTTACGTTAAGAATTCCTACGAAGGAGCCATCAAAGGTTTTATTACATTTTTATTTCATGTATAATTTTTTTTAGTTTTATAATATCATATTCATTTATTTATTCATATATCTTAGGATTTAAAATATACTAATTCTGAGGGAAGGATGGATGAATCACACCCACTTGGAAATAATAGACCTTATGGATGGCTAGAATTCAAAGTTGATGAGGATTCGATCATTAACATGACATTACCTATGGTATACACAGAAGAAGGGTATTCTAACTCTTTGGATGTTACATTAAAAAATGTTGTAGCTCAGTCGAGTGTTAATTTCTCTGACTTATTAACCGCAAAGCAATGCAGAGTGAGTTGCATATGCAATAGCTTATAGTTTCAAATAATAATATGTTTGTTTGTTATTTGTGTACTCATATAATGTTTCTTTTTATAGATAAGATGTGATTTACCAAATCCCATAATATGGAATCAAGCTCGCAGATGGGATTTTGATATACATTTTACAGACGCAAGAATTTATTTGTTAAGAGATCATATCACATTATTACAGGATTTGATAAAGGATTGGACATCTGGACCTTCTCCAGATCAATTACATTTTATTCCTATGGAATATTATCTTAAACCGCGATTCACAAATTTCGAATTACTTCTTTATGTTAATGAACACAATATAATTAATAACCCAATAAACATCGAGGACAATGGTATACATTATATTAATCTGATATTATTTCTATAATTTTCAGCTTTGTTTATTTTCTCTTTTTTTTTCGTAAGCGTTCATTATTATAAGGGGGACACAGTTAGTTGCAGATATTGTGATCCCGTTATTACAATATAACCAAGAAATTACTAAAATTCGCTTTGATATTGAGGTTTGAATTCTTAATAATATTTTTGCATTTATTATTTATAACTAATTGTTCTGTAATAAATTTGTACTGTAGATCACTAATGGTAGATTTGTTATGTCGCCTCAAGTTTCTCAAACCCTTGGTGCTTTTTTGACGGATGATAGTAAGGAAGCTGTAGAAGTGCCGAATTTTGCCATCGAAGGAAACTATCAATATTATAGCTTTGTTGATCCTAACCATGTGGAGTCATTAACATTAATAATGAAGGTATAGTATATGTAAAAATCGATTTCTTTAAAATATAAAAAATATCTTAAAACTTTTTTTTTTAAAGGGAAAAAAAGTCAATTTAAAGCTTTTTGGATTTGTTATAAGATACTTCTTGATCCTTCAAATGAACTATTTTGGTAATTATATTAATTTTATGACATCGGATGAGTATCTTACTAGGCATGATCCAAAAAGAGCAGTGAATAATATATTGTCACAAGAAATTGCAAAGGTAATTTATTTTATATTAATACTCATAAATACGAAAAAAAATTAATAAACTTCGGATCGCACTTTTAGCCTCCTGCAAATCCTTTTGAAGTGTATATGATATTAGTTATTGAAGATGGTACTTTAATATTGCCCGAGAATTTATATAGTGCTGATAATTTTTCAACGGTGCAATTTCATGAACTACAGATAGAATTAAGAAATCTTGATGTTTATATGGGTAAGTTACTATAAAATGAGGTGATGAGACTTAATAATATGCATGAAATAATTTATTATTCCCGATTTTTTAGATATGGATGTTACTGTTAGTCCATTAACGTGGACACTTGGTTCAGATGCTAGTAATAGAAAGAATACAATTAAGTCAAAATTGTCAAGGGACGATAATTACAATTGTTTGTATATTGATGGTATGCATATATATTAATTTTTATTTCCTTTCTTAATGATAGATTGATTTACTTATAATAATTTTTTTTTTTTTTTTTTTTTTTTAGATTTGAATATTCATGCTCACAGATTGTTTGGTCCATCACCTAAAACTGCCACATATGTTTGCAATTGGGATATAAATATCGGCACAATATCTGGACAATTAAAACCATCACTTTTACTAAGTGCGACTTCATTCGCAAAGACATTTGCTTATCATTATGTTGATAAAGAAAACGTGTTACCTGCAATTCCCCTTGATCCAGATGTCACTTTTTTATCCGTTAGTGTCAAAGAAGTCGATGTATCAATATGGGGTGGAGGTAGCGTAACACAAATTCTGCTTAAAGAGGGGTTGAGCATTAAATTTGATGATTTAGCAAACAAGAAATATACACTCAAAGTGATGTTTAATCTACCGGATTTAATTATAAGAAGTTTAGCTAAGTCAGTTACGACCTTATCATTAATTAAAGATTCTGAAAATCATCCTTGGGTAGAAGTTGCGAGTTTTGAATCTGCTTTTGATATCACTTTATATCACACAACTTCTGGATGGCGTGAAAGAATTGAAAGTCAACAAGCATTTATAAAGCAAGAAGACCGAGAAACTTTAAGGATTCCATTCCTTTACGGAGGGAATCAAGATTTGCTAGGATCTAATGGTTATCACTTTGGTTCTCTTTACACTCCACCAATGCCTCCACCATTACCAGGTATTCATTATCTAAAATTTTACTTATGACCAGCAATTGTGTTTTAAAAGAGACTTAAAAAGAAGGTCTATTATTTTACTAGATGATATGGATGCCAATTCTGTATTATATAACGAAAGTGTGAATTCATCTATGGATGATCTTTCCGCAAATAATGGTAGAAAAAATATGATGGACTTTTTTAGTAATAGATTCGATTTTTATAATGATAATGACGACGAAAGTTATATAAGAACGGATGCAGACAGGTTCATCTCTTAGTTGCTTAGAATTATTATCTTTCGAAAAGTAGTTAAATTAATACTTTTCCTTTTTTTAAAAATATAAATTCTTTATTTAGTATAATTACCGAATCTGGTGTCAGTGTGTCTAATTCTTCATTTGTAACTGCCCAAAGTGATGATTCCCAATACAGCGATGAAAGCGACATTGACAATCTTTGTAAAACCAATGTTAAAATCAGTGGAGATTCTGATAGTGAATACGAAGAAAACGAATCAGATCAATCACCTATTGCTGAACAAAATCCAATGTCACCGCTAACGACACGATCTATTCCCTACGAAAGTTACCTGAAAAGTTATCGGTTAACTTATAAAAGACCTTATGCTGCCCCCTTTTCAAGCTCATTTCTTCGACCTTCACGCATATTATTTATTCCGGCTAGAGTATTCGTCATTTTATTATTATTGTTTATTAGCTTAACTAAGTAATTTACTCATTAACTTTTGAATTTTTTTTAAAGGATGAGGTTTTGTCTCCTGATGATGAAAACAGCCAAAGTTATAAATCTTTCCCATTTACAAAGACAAAGAGTGCAAGCACCGAATCATTCAACGAACTCGAACCCGAAGATGAAACAACGTCGTCTATGAATAATGATGTCGAAGAAAAATTTACGATAGTTTTTGAGACAGCAAAATGTATCAAAATATTATTGACCCCAATTTTCTTAAAGATTGTTGAAGAATTTCTTGAAGCAATCATAGATAAGGTTCGTGAAGGAAGCTTTTCGTTTTTTTAAGATAACTCTTATAACATGAATTAATTACTTCTATAACTATTTGTCATAGAATTGGCATTTAGAAGCTATGCTCGATAGAATACAAATTGATTATGTCAAAAAACTTACCAATTTGATTTCATTCAAATATACAACTGTAAGATTTGCTGCTTCAATTCCTCGTGTGCATCTTCGTTTCATACAAGATGTTCTTCTTCCCGACGATTTAACAAATGTAAATGATGAGCACCCTGGTATTAGAACAAGATATGATTTAACGGATACCATTTTATGTGCAGCTGCAGACTTGATTTTAGATCAGACTCTATTAACAGGTCTAATAAAATTTGAAGATAAAAAATTTGATAACAAGGATAAAATAAGAAACTTTCGTCCATCTTTAGAGTTGGTTGAATCTCGGGCTAATATTGATTTTGATACATTAAAGCTTAGCGTTCGATTTGTCACTGGTTCGAATTCTATTGCTATCTTCGGAATTCCAGAATGCCTGCATCATTTTAAAGAATCTGGATTTATTCCATCTGATACTCTAGATAATGAACCTGTTGTTTTGATTGTTGCTCTAGAACAGCTTAAACTGCAGTGGATGGGATGTATGCAGCCTAATTATTTTTCTTTTGATATCGATAGAGTTGCTGGTATTTTTATAAGTCAGTCTGTGGAAATTTTATTAGGTGGTATTTATTGGTGGTTGGTTTTTGCAGAAGATCTAGTAAATTTATTAAAGAAATTTCAGATGCATCGAACACGACAGTTACAAGTTTTAGTTTATGAAATTGCTAAATTCTCAGAAAAAACTACAATTGAAAATGATCCACCATACTTAACGCGACCGTCTCATGTTTTAAGATTAGGAATTACTAGGAATTTTAAAAATGATGATGGTTGGAAAATTCTTGGTCGTGTTAGACATTGTAAGACGCTAATGCAAACTGAACGAATTGATGAATTACACGCCACATTAAAGAATAATGCTCACCTATTATCAGTGAGTCCAGGTGAAATGTATGAACAAGTTTTGTGCGTTTTTTCGAAATGGAGACATTGGGAAATGGAAGAAGATTTATCTAACTGTCATTTATTTACGGATCTTTTTAAACAATACGATAATTCAAATAAATCACCTGTCGATGATATTAATGATATTTATCGATTCTTGACAACATCAACGAATTTTGCTAAAGTACGGATTGGAATTATAGCTTTATCTGTCTGGGATGGACAAAAAGAGAATTCAGTGGCTATTTCTCCCATTGAATTGGATTTTGAAACAATATTTCATAAAGATAGTTTGCCACCATCTGAAGTTATTCTTACTGGAAATTTGGATGTAATATTACGAATTGGAATAGACAAAATAGGCCTCGATGTAAATCCGGACATGCTCGCTTTTGCAAAACATTGGCTCAAGGTACACAGAGTATTCAGTTCGAAGTTTCGATCTTTGTCAGGCAAAGAACCCGTCGTTCAATCTGAAGAGATCGTTCCTTCTACAAAAGTACATAAACATAAACAAACACCTACAATCACAAGTTTACATGATATAAAATCAAAAACAAAAGACAAGAAACGTAAAGATGCTATCACGGATTCAATTTCATCTGATCCGATAAAAGATTTGTCATCTCGTCTTAATATTAATGCACGTGGAATAATTATTCTCAAAAGTATCACTATTAAGGCATCAGCTCAAAATCTTATAGCACAAACTCAGTTAACGAATCTTAAAATCTCTAGTTGGTTTGACAATCCTCAAATTTTAAATTCTGCCGATAAGCCGGATTTAGAAAATGTGTCAGTTAGTAAAAACCCAGGGTCGAGGAGCAGTGGTAGTAAAAGATCAGATAGTTTGATTTTTTCAACTATTTTAGGTATTGAAGATATACAAGCAAGTATCAGCAATTCATCCGGAAACAATACTTTGTTATCAATAGGATTGTCTAGAATAAGTTCGAATATGTCACTTAGTTTACTATCTACCGGACGACCAAAGAGTAAAATCGAAATTGAACCACGTAAAGTTTTAAACATTTTATTGACGCTTGAAAAAATATCTGTTAGATTGCCACAAAGTCTTTTAAAACTATACAATTTTATTGAAGAATGGAGGGCTGAAAACCTAGCAAGTTATGACTTTTTATATAAAAAGTTATTAGATGAATTGGAAGAACAACGAAAGTTAACACCAAAATCTACTACTCATTCTGACCCTCGCGAAATCCGTACATCATCAGAAAAGAATGTACGGAATTCTTTGGAAATTAAATTTCAATTCTTGATGAAAAAATTATCAATAAAAACTCATATGCTGCCATCTTTAGAATTTCAATATGATGCATGGAACTTATTTATAATGTTAGAAAAAAGTATTACACTTCTTGGTGATAGTTTGATTAATTATTCTGGACAGTTATCAAAACAAGTTATTCATTTTGTTACGCGACAAAAACACAAAAATAAAATCGAAAAATTCATTGACGATGAAACTGATGATAGCCATCATCAAAAAGGAGCCTTTACTATCCCAGCAATAAGGGCGACAGGTAACATCAAATCATGTGAGCCTCGAAAATCCGGCGTGCCTAACAAGAAAATGGCAATTTCTTCTACTAGTTCAGTTGCACCTTATAAGTATTCAAAACTTGAATCTTCAGTAACATTAGACTTTGTTAAATTAAGTTTGAATGTAAATATTATAGACAATTTATTGACAGCGCATTCAACTATCGGAAGTGAATTGAATGATATATTAGACGTATTTTTATTTTCATCTAAGAAACTTAAGGAACGTGGTGATACTTCAAAAGAAAAAACATCTATTTCTTCTAAAGATAATGCTATGCTATTTTATAATCTTAAAATATCTTTAAGAGGTCTTAGAATTTCAGCAATGAGCCCAAATGCTGTTGGATTTTTTGAGACAAATATTCTTAATGGTCTTATTACGAATGTTCCTACAGATTTTGAAAAGTCGCCAAAGGTTCAGTGGAAATTTTCAGCACAGAACTTTTCTTTATCATTAAACCATAAAACAGGAATTATGAGCCAAGTAGACGCTGATGATGATATACGTAAATATCGAATTGCTTATATCATGATTGATTTAGCACTACAAAATTTCAAAAATCAACAAGAATGTAATAATAAATCTAGCGAAGGCGATGAATCTATTGAATCATACTTCCTCAAATTATTAAAAGTTCATGCTGTAATGCAACCAATTGCACTTGGTCGTTTAATGGATTTGTACGTTTACTATAGTGGTGAATTAGAGCGTAGAAAAAAGATGAAGGCCTCCGAAATTGATAAATTAACCATTAAAGCGCAAAGAATTTTAAATTCACTTGATGTTGAGATGCCTAAATATAAGTCAAAGAGCAAATCATTTTTGGATGAGAAGGTTTTGTCACTTGAAATAACAAGATTTGCTATTGCACTTCCTCTTGATTTACACGAAGATTTAATATCTACAACCACAAGCGAAAATTCATCACCTGTTCCTCAAATTCCCGCATTTCTTTTTTCAATTTCATCGATGAATTTTCTCACAAGAAAATTGAAATTTAATTGTGCGATTCTCAAGGATTTGAGCCTTCAATTTGTTACTCAATTCGATCAGGGAAATGAGAATCACTTTTCATCTTATTTTCATCCTAATATGAATAGAATATTTGTTCCTGAAATTTCTTGTGAAGGGCATACTATTGGCACAATAGATAAGAAAAAGATTTATGTTGAATCAAGAGTAGAAGGTTTTAAAGTAGATGTTGGAGGAAACATCGTTAATCATATAAATAGTCTTAGTGAAATATATGCTGCAAGTCGAGAAAGATTAGAAACTTTCACCGCCGAGACTAATTTCAATCTTGGGTCTCAAAATCAATCGACAAAATCTTCAAATAATGAAGAATTAGATGATGATTCGAGCTCTTCTAATGTTGTTGAATTAGAAATAGAGGCTATATTTACAGCTAAAAGTGGTACGATAAAATTATATCCAAAGAATTATTTTACAAAGCATCATAAAAGATCAACCGAAAACAAAGTTAATGATCGTTCAAGATCAACACGTGGTTCTCGTGGAAGCATTGCATCTATTTCTCTTCCCCGTCTTAATTTAGAAGGAATCCCCAATTATACTCCTACGAATTTGGATGATTTAACAAGACAAGGAGAACATGGTATAGACAATATAGTGATACCAGGTCTTAGTTTAAATACTTTTTACCGTACAACAATTGGACAGAGAGCTGTTCCTTCCTCGGGTATATCGACAAAGAGAGTTCACGTTGAACTTATAATTCATCCAAGTGAAAATATATTTTACCCGTCATTGGTGCCATTTATCAAAGATATTATTGACGGTCTAAAGATTGGAGTTCAACGATCTAGTGATAAAAAAGCAATCGCAGTTCAAGAAAGTTCATCCCCAATTCAAGGAGTTAATTTTACGTGTTATTTCAGACTTTCACGTACTACGTTTGACCTTAGTTGTCAACCCGCTTCTAAAGTTGCTTGTTCTCTAAAATGGGAAGAAGGAAATTTTCTTATTTCATTTAATACTGCTGATGAAGCATCTCAAAGTATAACATGCGTTGGAAAGATTAGAGGTGCTTCTGGAAATATTCGTCATGCATTTTCTCCTGAAGATTGTGTTAGAGCTGAAACAAAAAATATTTCATTCAATGCAACTTTAATGAGCAGGAGGACGGAAAGTGTTTCTGATGATTCTATTTCCATTATCGTTGAATTGCCACAAATTACAGCAGATTTAAATATTCGTCATCTTCAAGATTTGTTACTTTTAAAGATAATTTGGATAGATCAAGCTACGAAATTATATGAAGTTAGTGGTCTGAGTTCTCAACAATCTTCTCGACCTGTAAGCGGTGAATATATTAATTCTGATAAAGCATCCTTATCTCCAGCTTCACTGTCACGTTCTGCAACTCCATTATCAGAAAATGAAACAAAGGTCAAACCTTATTCTGTATATATAATGGTTAGGTTGAATCAATTAGATTTATCCTGCGATTTGGGTCAGGCTATTGGAAAAGTTCAATTTACCACCAAAAACATTCAAGTTCGTACAAAAAATGTTCCAGGAGTGTTAAAAAGAGCTACTGCATCTACAGATTATCTTGATATTAAATGCGAAGGTCGTCTTTCCGGTTCCGCTAACATGGAAGGACTTGCATTTACAACAATTTTAGGAATTCCTCCTAAATCAGAGACCGATGGAACGATTTGTGTGACAAATTTATTGTTCAAAACCGAGAAAATTCAATCTTTTCTGGAATACGAATATCAAAAAATTTTGATATTGGAAGTTGATCCAATTCAGTTTAAACTAATGGACTATTGGACAATCATTTCACCAGAAAAAGCATCTGTTTTAGTACATGCAAATGTTTCTGTTAAACGTATTCAAGCAATTGTTGCTATAAAAACAATACCAAGTTTCCTTCATATGACTAACAAACTTTTAGCCTTGATAGAAGAAAAAAGAATTTCTGCATCTAATGTAATTTCAGATTCCAAAAGATCGCATTATTTGGATCCGAATTCTCAATCACAAACATATTCAGCATCGGATAATAGACTTTCGCCACAAGCAACGAATGATTCTCATTCTTATAAAGAGTTATTAATTGGTGGATTGTTAGTTCATCCAGTAGGAAAGATTACTATAGCAATGGAGAGAGCATGTTTAACTATTTTTCCAAATCACTTTCATGATACTGATTGCGTTCAGACAAAATTTGATGGACTTCTTGTGGATATGAAAAGATCAATTGGAGATGATGAACGTGTTAATAGAGAGCTCGATATGCAGCTTAATAGTATTGCACTATTAAAAAGCAGCTGTAAGAAACTAAATCATAAAAATGATTCACTTACTTTTCAGGATTGGTTTGATCGTGTTGAAAACTCCTCTTCAAAGAACATTTTCACTCTTCCAAGTACACATTTAATAATGGACACTTCACAGGGCATTGGAAGTAATATTGTGGATCATAAATTTACTGTTGACTTTAGGGGTAAAGTCGATGTAGCATTAAATTTTGGGTTAATAAGGTATCTTCAAGAATTAGGAGTACTGTACAAAGAACAATTAAGAAAGAATACAGTCAGTGCATCTGGAGATTTTCCAAAATCACCAATTGTTTCTCCTTCAACTCCAGGTTCACCACCTGTTGATTACTTCAAACCTAATCCTTCGATACAAGTTCAGCAACCTAATTCACCAGCAATACCTATTTCACCAACAACAGAAACAAAAGTAGTCCAGTCAAATGAGAATGAGGACTCAAAAGAAACAAAAAACAAAGATACTATAATTTTTAATCCAGTTAAACAAGTAAAATTGGAACCACAGTTAAGAATTTTAGGGGATGCTACGCCACCATTAGAATGGGTCGGTGTTCAAAGAGCCAAAGTTCCAGGGTTCGTTCATACAGCAATTACAATGAATTTGGATGAAATCATAAACAAAATTACTAATGAATCATTCAAGGCAGCTCAAGCATTATTATAACTATTAGTTTGGCATTACGCAATTTTGATTTAATCCTTTAGTTTTTTATTTAGATTACTTTTTTTTAATAATAATAATAATGATAATGATAATTTTATTTTGAATATTTGACAAACTTATTTGACTTTAATAATTAATATAAAAAAAAATCAATCATTCTCATCGTTTAGAGCATTAATTTCAAGTGAATTAATATATATATAATACGTGAACTATGTTACTTTACATTGAAGGTATAATGAAAATTTAAAAAATCTTTCGTAACATGTCTTGGTCAGTTCAATTTATTTAACGCAGAATAATCCATATTGCTACAAAATTATCTCTCAAAAAATCAATCATTCAACTTGTAATTTCAATTTTAATCTTTCACTTGCTCATCATTTCAAATCGATATTCCAAGACGAGAAAAAATTAGCACTTTAAAAAGGAATATTTTTAAGTTTGAACTTATAAGATGTGGCATCACTTATTTACAGTATTTCATCCTATTAAAATTTTTTTTTATCTACAAGATAAATTTTTTTTTCTTGTCATTCGCGTAAAATTTTTTTGTCATCATTACAAGCTTTTTGGTCAGTTTTCGATGGGTCATTCAGTCTAATAATATGTTCTGCCGTGAACTAATATATTAATATTACGAAGAATATTCATTATGGCATTGCAGCACTAACGAGTGATATTAACGAGATCTAATTACGAAACTTTTGAAATAATACAAAACAAATAAACGGTCTCTTTTCAACCAGTCAAATTTAAAACTAATAAACAATTGATAAGGGTCGAGTAGATGGGACTTCAGTGGTCTTTCAACCAATCGAATTTGCGAATAGGTAAAAAAAAAAAAATTACCGTTTATGGTAATAGAAATAGTAATGAGTTTGTGTGATTTTATTGATCCAATCAAATATCTTTATACTTATTATATGCAGAATATAAAGAATTTTGCCCCGATTTTTGCATTATAAACCTTTTTTACCTTCTTTTATAAATAATATAATGCCATATCGTAAAAACACAATAAGTGAAGGACCTATAGGACAATGTGTATTTTGTTCTAAAGCAGGGTTTAGGTTTACATGTAAATCGTGCCAAATGAATTATTTGAAAAAAAATTTTAAAAATTGGACCAGTGGAAATAAAAAAATTAATAATTTTATTCAACAAAAGCAATTAAAAAAAAGTCAACGTGAAATAATATTCGAGTGGATACCATATGATGGTTTTAGCGATATTAAAGGAATAGGAAAAGATGATATTGTTACAGTATATTCAGCAATATGGAAAGATGGTCAACTAAGATATGATAAGTATGATTTGTTTACAAGAGGATTTATAAGAGTACCCAATGAAAAAGTTGCCCTAAAGTGTTTAGATAATCCACAAAATGGGATTGATAAAATTCTAAATAAAGTATGTGAATTTATATTTTTATTTAGTTATTTTTTTTTTAAAATAAAAAATTTTTTAAATATATATATAATTATATAATGATAGATCGATGAATTTTCAATTAATAATAGAGATCTTAAAATATATGGTTTATCACAAAATCCAAATACAAAAGAATATATCATAGTTTTACAGAATGGATACTGTAAAGAATGTGGTGAAAAATATACAAATATAATGTATACTTGGTGTAAACCATGTCATATAAAAATTTTTACAAGTGGAAATGAAGAAATTGATGATTTTATTCATGAAATACAATCACAAATTCATGATTCATCTGATATAGTGGTTGAATGGATACCATACAATCAGTTTAATAAAATTGAAGAGATAGGAAAAAGCGATTTTGCTACAATATGTTTAGCAGTATGGAAAGACGGTCCGTTACATTATGATAATGAGTCATGGAACTGGACAAGAAATTCTGGTAAAAAAGTTGCTTTAAAATGTTTAAACAATTCACGAAATGACATTAACAGAGTTCTAAATGAGGTATGAACTATATAAATAATTAAAATGATTTTTTTTTTGATTATAGCAATAACAATATTTTTTTGATTTTAATAGGCTAAAAAATATTCAGTAAAAAATAATGACTGCCGTGAAAATAAAATATATGGAATATCTCAAAATCCAAACACAAAAAATTATATTATGGTTCTCAATAAATATGACAAGTATTGTGTGAAATGTGATAAAATATATACAGAGACAGAGTATAAATGGTGTAAACCATGTCAGATAAATCACTTAAAAGAAAATTTTATGAATTGGACCAGCGAAAATAAAGAAATTGATAATTTCATTCAAAAGATGCAATTAAAAATAAGTTACAAAAATATAACACTTGAATGGATCCCATATAATCAATTTTGCGATATTGAGGAAATATGTAAAGGTTGGTTCGCCACCGTATACTCAGCAATATGGAAGGATGGTCCATTATGTTATAATTCGAAAGAAAAGAAATATTTAAGAGAATCAGATAAGGCGATTACTCTGAAATATTTTAATTGCTCACAAAATGTGATTAATGAATTTTTAAATGAGGTATGAAATTTCTTTATAAATATAAATTCTTCTTTTTTAATTATAATTAGATTTATTTTTTTTTTCATCGATAGGCTAAAAATTATTCAATAAAAAAAGATATTTTGTCTAAAGATAAAATATATGGGATATCTCGAAAACCAAATACAGAAGATTATATTCTAATTCTATATAATGAATATTCTCAAGAATATTTTAAAGAGTGTTATGTAAAATATGGTGAAATTGTTGGATATAGAAAAATTTTTACAAACTGGATCAGTGGGAATGAAAAAATTGACAACTTAATTCAAGAAATGCAATCAAAAATTAATCTTTACGGAGATATTTTATTTGAATGGATACCATATAATCAGTTTATTGATATTGAAAAAATCGGGCAAGGTGGTTTTGCTACAGTATATTCTGCAACATGGAAGAATGGCCCATTACGTTATTATAAGGATAAAAATGAGTGGATAAGAAGTTCAGATAAGAAAGTTGCGTTAAAGTGTTTAAATAATTCACAAAATATCAACAATGAATTTTTAAATGAGGTAATTTATTCAATTTAATCATCAAAACATTTATGATATGTAATAATATTTATATATACAGTATATATATTTTAGGTTAAAGCATATTCAGTTAATAATTTTGATAGTCAGATTATAGGAGTATACGGAATATCTCAAAATCCACTCACAAAAGATTATATTATGGTTCTTCAATATGCGGAAGGTAGAAATTTTAATTATTGGATGAATAATAATTCTAAATATTTTAGCTGGTTAATTAAATTAAAAGTGTTAAGTAATATTATTAATGGCCTTAAAGAAATTCATCAAAAACAGATGGTTCATCGTGATTTTCATATAGGAAATATATTATTTAAAGAAATACATTTATTCACTTCAAATTATATTTCAGATATGGGATTGTGTGGAGAAATTGGTAATATAGACGAAACAAATATTTATGGAGTTATGCCTTATTTAGCTCCCGAAATATTAAGAGGAAAACCTTATACTCAAGCAGCAGATATATATAGTTTTGGTATGATCATGTATTTTACAGCGATTGAAAGACAACCTTTCTCCGATTTTGTACATGATTCTCTTTTAGTATTAGATATATGTAAAGGAATTAGACCTGAAATAAATGAGAAAGAAGCACCTGGATTTTATATTGATTTGATGAAAAAGTGTTGGGATTCAAATCCGGTCAATAGACCGAATGTTGCTGAAATAGAAGAAACTATTATTTCATTTTATAATTCATATCGTTCACAAGATGATAATGAAATTAAAAAGCAATTTCAAGAATCAGAAAAATATAGAAGTATTAATAAGAACGGAAAACCACCTATTCATCCCCAAGCCATATATACATCTCGACTACTTAATCCTTTTACAGAGGATCTTGATAATAATACAGCAGAATGTTTAGACTGTAAAATATAATAAAACAATAAGTACGTAGCTAGTTAGGTTAAGGAAGAGACCCCACGATTTGAGGTTATAAATTCCGTGAATATGATGGGACGTATATTGAGAGTTGGCGTTGGTTTAAACACTTTCTTTATTGTCCATATGATCCCACGATTTGAGGTTATTAATTAATTCCGTGAATATGTTACGTTTACGGAGCAAAAACATGGAATATAAAACGCGGATCAAGTTTTTTTTTACGGGATGTATATTGAGAAGTTAGCGTTGATTCTTTGTATTTTGACAACTTTATTATCCATGAATTTATAAATTCCGTGAATATGATGGGACGTATATTGAGAATTGGCGTTGATTTAAACACTTTTTTTATTGTCCACATGATCCCACGATTTGAGGTTATTAATTAATTCCGTGAATATGTTACGTTTACGGAGAAAAAACATGGAATATAAAACACGGATCAAGTTTTTTTTTTACAGAATATATATTGAGTGGTTAGCGTTGATTCCTTGTATTTAAACAATTTTCTTTATTATCCATGAATTCGTTACATCGTCTGAACAAGACCCACGATTTTGAGGTTATAAATTTTGTGAATATGACGGGATGTATATTAGTTAGCGTTGATTCGTTGTATTAAATTTATTTAAATTGTTCCTTTATTATCCATGAATTCATTACATTGTCCCACGAATATGACGGGTTGAGAGTTAGCGTTGATTCTTTTTGTATAATTTGAACAATTTCTTTATTGTCCGTGAAATTCGCTACATTATCCGAACAAGATCCCACAATTCCGTGAATATGTTACGTTTATGGAGAATAAACATGGAATACAAAGCATGTATATGCGCACAATATCTGATATAGACTACATTTTGCAATCCTTCAAGAATTTCAAGAATTTAAATCTTGACAAGGAAACTCTATTAAAACTTTATGTTTAGATAAATTTTATGACTCGATAAATTTTATAAAATGTTATTTATTAATAGTTATTTCAACGATATTGGATTTGATCGTCAGTGTGATACAAGATTATTGGCACGTGTAAAAGAAACATCTCGTAAAGTAAGACGACATATTATTTTTTTTTTCTAGTATAACGAAGAATTTCAGATCTTAATTTAGGCCAAGTTTAGTTGATTAATTTAAACCAAATAAATTTTAAATTCTTACTAAAATTAGTAATGTTGAAAATTTGCAATAATCAACGATAAAGTTGTAAATAAACAAAATGAAAATCTTACTAATCTTTTTATCCATACCAAATTTGTTATATGCATACTAAATTCGTTATAAGTTTTTTTTTTTAAGAAGTCACGTGAATTCATGAACTTTTTGATTAGTAATCAGTATATCAGATATATACAAATTTTTTTTTTAAATCCGGTAAAATTGATGACACATAATCTGAATTATTGGATAAAATTCAATCCAATAATTGCGATATTATGATAAAAGTATTAAATTTAACATATTTTAGCGTGTCAGCAGGGTTGAATTTTGTTGGTCTTACAGAAAAAAAAAAAAAAAATATTATTTATCATATAAATGACGATCTTTTGATTATTAAAATTCTAAATAGAATAATAAGTCTATAGTCAGAATTGATTCAATATAACGAAATTCACCAATCAAACTGTCAAACTATCAAACTATCAAACCGAATTATACCATTTTCGGAGGTAATTTCAAAAGAATGATTTCTTTTATTTACAAGGATTGAAAAACGAATCATAATTATTATATTATGTATGATACATTAAATTTCGATAAACCGATTTTTTATTGTTACAAATCTCAAATCTTGTTAATCGGAGGAGAAGATTCCATTATCCGAATTATATTAAGATACACTTATACGGTATATAAGTATACATATTACCGATTCTTATTGTATACGATATTATACGATATATTCACTATGACCCTATTTACTATATTTGAAACTCATTTTTTTCCGGTTTAAAAATTTTTAATTGTAACCCATTGAAGGATTAATAATGAATATCATTTTTTAACATATTAATCACTTTTAACTAGAATTTGGATTATTATTAGTAAAAACTTTCCTTATATTATTTAAACCCCGATCCAATGGGTTTATTCTAATTCCAAATGGTATAATTCCAAATGGTATAATAAATCTCCGAAATCAAAAAAAAAAAAAAAAAAAAAAAAA